GCACAGTGGGCTGCAGTTGGCACCCCGCCGGAGCAGCAGCCCGGGGATGACAGGCCTGCTGTGCTGCGGGGTTGCTCGGGCTGTTGGGCTGCATCACGCTGACTTACAGCCATTCCCATCCCTGTTGTAACGCAGGAGGACAAAGAGGCCGTCTTTGATGTTGTGGACACCCTGAATGCTGTGCTCCAGGTTGCCACTGGAGTGATTTCTACCCTCCAGGTGAGGCTTCAGCTACTCGCTACTGACCATGGGTGGGAGGCACGTTCTGTGAGTGGCTCAGGGGAGAGAGCGCTGGACTGGTCCTAAGATGAAGTCTCTTCAGTAGCTCACCCCTACTGCTCATGATGGCCCCCATGTCATCTAGTGTGTCCCCAAAGAGCAGCCGATGACAATCTCTCCCTCTGACCCTCCTTCCTGCAGATCAACAAGGAGAACATGGAGAAGGCGCTGAGCCCCGAGATGCTGTCTACTGATCTAGCTCTGTACTTGGTTCATAAAGGAGTAAGTATCAGAGAGGACTTGGAGCTGCGATTTCTGTGGTTGCAGAACACTGCTCAGCAGCAAGGGCCTGAGATGAGGCCTCTGTTCTGTCCCCAGGTGATGATCAGTCTGGGTCAACAAACACGAAATCTGGAAACCCTTTCTTTACATGTATCCCAAGCAGTGGAACTGCTGCCAGGTGGACTTGATAGTAATTTACAGGTGGAGTTTTACCTCCTAACACCTCCCCTCTTCAGAGCCCAGACAAGCTGGATTCAGATGGCAATGCCCTAAGTGAAAACAACCAACCAACCAAGGCAGCACATCCATTCTTTGCTTTGAGGCTGCTCCCCAATTCCCTGGTCACTGATTGTGCCCTCTGCTTCTCCCTGCAGATGCCCTTCAGACAAGCCCACATTGCCTCTGGGAAGGCCGTCCACCTCGCCGAGTCCAAAGGCATGACCATCAATAATCTCAGCCTAGATGACCTCAAGAGCATCAGGTTCGTATCACTGTTATTTTGCCATGGCTCCCCCCAGCAGGCAAGTATCAGCCTCCCCCCAGGCAGGGAGCCTGTGGAGGCAGCAAACAGCACCCAGCGCTCTCCACTGACCCCCGTCTCTCGGCCTCCCCAGCCCCCTGTTTGGCAGCGACGTCTCCCAGGTCTTCAACGTTGTCAACAGTGTGGAGCAGTACACGGCCATGGGTGGTACGGCCAAGAGCAGCGTGACCACCCAGATCGAGCAGCTCAGGGAGCTGCTCAAGAGGCACAAGGAGCAAGCTTAGAGTGTGGGGAGATGTCCCGTGGATGCAGCGTTGTGCCGATCACACTAATGTAGAGTTAATAAACACTGGGTGTATGTAGTTCACTGAAACTCCTGTCTGCGTGTTTCTTCTAAGGGGCAACATTGAGCTGGGCTTCCTCAGCCCTCCTGAGGCTTGGG